TCGTGGATAGTTCCTATTCCATTAATATTTATTTATACAACACTATTGGTATAGAATGTACTATAATGTCTACTTAAATTATTTATTTGTTAAATTAAGCTGTAGTTGTGCGAACGGACACGAGACAAAGTAAATTAGAAACACGGTGTATCAGTAAAAAAAAAATGTATCAAATACCGACTCAGGTAAGAAAATTGAACAGTAGCGCAAGAGAGAAACAAAACTAAAAGTGAAGAATAGCGACTAAATATGGTTGCCACATTTCATTTCTTGCCGCATTATTGCCATGTCGTCAAAACCGTTTCACAAAGGTTTCGAAGCAAGCGCCGCTCACGAGATATTGGGCCTGCCCCACATGCCACCTTCCTCTGGTCTGGAAACCTAGCGCGAGGCAGAATATCTTGGAGACAACTGTTCATGAAAGCTATGCTGGACGCTTCGATATTCAAGTGTGCAGTTCGGGAATTGAATATTTCGATTCTGAAAAGCCTAAGCTACGTTGCTTCGATTGTAGAAATGACCATTTTTTTTATTATGCTTGAGATATTTACAATATTCTACGAGCGGATCAAATCCCTAATTCATACAATTTAATTCTGAGGCGGTTTAATATATTTGAAACTAATTTTAGATTGAACAAATTGCTGTTTACTGCAGAAAAATAGATTTATTTTAATTTACTTAATACACTAAAATAGTCTTTAACATAACAATCTCGGCAACATGCGATGTTTTATTGAATGTATACACTCATATATATATATATATATATACTAATTTGAAATCTATATAATAATTTAAATCTACGTGACGATGTTGTCATTAGCACTATCAGCATTTAAATTCTTTAATTTTTCTTTAATTTCTAGAGCTAATTTATACCCAAGTTCTGGTCGACGATCTTTACCCACAACCATTGCTTTTACCTGATTAGAATTCACTATAACACCATTGCTGGCTATGACAGTAGCTTTGGTTTTTTCAATGTCAACGAGGTCTACACCTCGACTACAGTCATCAATGAGTATAGTACGATAGCCGCATTTAAGTGCATCAACTGCAGTAGCTCCGACACAGACATCATAAGCCAACCCACAAATGTATATGTCTGTGACTCCAATTTCTTGTAATTGCGATTGCAAACTAGTATCCTGCATTTTCTTATTATCCCAAAAAACGGAGTACGAATCAACTTCCGGGTTAGTCCCTTTATAAATTTTAATCGCATTGTCGACGACCTTTAGATCCTTATGCAACTCTGCACCCCAAGAATCCTGAATGCAATGGCGTGGCCAAAGACGCTGCTTTAGTAACGGTGGTCCCCTGAATGTAATTGTGTCATAGACTTGCGCTGCTTCTTTTGAAATTTCGCTGCTTTCATCAACTTCTCTGTTGAAATATAAAGTAGTTAATTTAATCAACGGATAAAATACAAGAACACAAAAGTTATTTACCTGAGATGTAAGTTATCGATAAAAGATACATGATCTACAGGATGCCAATCGAGAGAATAGAATACTGCATCGAATTGTACAGTATCCAACAATCTATTAATTGGCTCAACCACTTCTAAACCATCATGCTCAGCAGCACATTGCTTAATGTTCAAAGACCCCGTTATAAAATCATTTTGTACATCTACGATTAGAAAAGCACTCTTTGGACGGCAGCATACCTTAATCCAACGGTTCCAACACATCTGAATAATAACAAAATGAAATACAATGAAGTTGAATTTAATAGAAATAACGGTAATTTCATATTTACAAGTATACCTCAAATTCTTCTTTGTCCATTCTTCCATCTCCTTTCCAATCGAATATAGAGTAGATTTCATTTAACTGATCTTTTTCTAGAGTATAAACTTTCCCGCGATCATTACGGAACAACGCACGACAAATAAGTTCGAACTCTGTGATAGATAAATATCCATCTTCATCTTTATCAAAAGCAGTGAAACATGCGTCCATATTTCTACACTGTGGCTACTAGTTCCCAAGTCATTTGTTTAATCAATACTCGCAGTAAAACTGCATAGCCACCTTATATACTACTTTCAGTCCCTTAAACTGCTGAGAAAATACTGCAATCTATTCCTATATAATACTCTTCAGTGTAGCACTGCAGTATCAACTTTTCATATTTACACATACCGCATAAAGCTTATACAGAGTGTATACAAATCACGGTATGTACTTTGTTCATAGTAACAACTTTTTTCTTTTCCTCACAAGCATTTTTCTAGATGTGGAAACTTAAAATAAAATATCAGTATAGACTCCTTCAAGTGTTTTATTATCAAATGACTTGAATAAAAGTTGACATTGGAAATTATCATACAACTTTGTGTTTTTCTGTTTGTGTGACATATAATACCTCCTTATATGTATATATATAACATGAAGTTACTGTGCAAGTCTTTGATGAGTTAACAATGACACATCAATTATTGCTTCAGGTTCTAACAAGTCATTTACTTTGTACTTCATAGATTCTTCATAAGCATATGTGACAGATGTATCAGTCAAATGCATGTTAGATTGGGCTAAAATTAAAATGCAATTACGTAGTCTTGCACATACTTCACGATTTGCTTGTGGGATTCTAGACAAGTCTTGAGTGAAACCACCCTCTGATCTATCTGTATCCTGCTTACTGGCACCAATCCATATATAACCATTGTTTCCTAATATTAAACTTGCACCATTCTCTAAATTATGAAAATGTGTTTTCTTTCGCTTGATAAGAGCCGGAGAAACTTTTAACATTATCCCTTGCGACAGTTTACCATATTTTAATACTCTAGTATGCAATGAAAGTGAGCCATCTACAAATGTACTTTGTACTTCTGCACAAATTAAATCACCTTCTTGAAGGTATCGTCTCATAGTTTGTTCATCTTCCGCTGATCTTCTTCTCTAAGATGTTATTAACAGAAATTTTTAATTAACACAACTATAATATAAAGGTATTAATTTACTATTAATTTTGCTTTCATATCATACCAGTTCTCCTCCAGGTAAATTAACACTAGATAATAAAAGAACAGAATCCAATTTCGAATTTGTATCAACTTTCCAACGTTTTTGTTGCACCTCAGTTATGCGACCAACAACTACATCTCCTATTTCTCCTTGATAACGCGCTTTCAGTGGTCTTATCGAAATAAGTTTGTTTACTTTTTCTAAAACACCGGCAACAGACGCACGCAATGTGTTCTCATCATCTACGTACGTCCCGTGACCTCTAAGAAAAATATATATGAAATAAATCAATAACTCATTTTACCGATAAGATGAATACACTTCGATTTACCTCAAGAAATCAGGCTGGCTAGATATTTCTTCACCCGGTGTATATATTCTCGGCTGGATATCTTCGTTTTTTATTAAATTTAAGTCAACTCTACTCACAGCCAGGCGTACCTTAATAGGTGGATATTCTTCCATTGCAAATAAATGTTAATTTCAATATGTATTTTGCAATAGTACATGAATATATAAGAAAAAAATATATATGTACTATATTTATGTTAGGTTATGTTGCATAATTTTTTTTGAGGTTATGGGTAATTAGTACCGCTGGTGAATCAACAAGGTTTGAGGTTTGGTTGAGTTTGTAGATACAGTAATGGGATCTACTCCTGCACGCCTTTATTACTCCGTAAACTGGAGCGCACGTTCCCACTATTTTACTTCGCATCCAATCTGCAGTGGATCCTGTCTCAGCAGTGAAACATCAGCCAATCAGAGCATGAAAATTTCTATATCGACCCTCATTAACGGAACAGCTGCGGCCTGGCGAAATGTACAGCGATACCTAAATTTCTACAAGATTTTCCGATCACAGCAGTCAATTTTGGTTGATATAACCTCTAAAACTAATATATGTATATGGCTTTTCTTCTATGTGTAGGTTGTCATAGTGTGCGGCCGGCCTCTCTCTTAACGAGAATACGAGTAAGAATTGTTTTGCTCCGATTGACTGATGATACAATGCTAAAACAGAATTCACTGCGGATTGAATGCGCAGTAAAATGATAAGTCGCTTGCTAAAGCTAAGGGAGGTAGAGAAATTGTGCAAAATCTGTATGTACATATGTATGTAGTAGGAATAGTGTACACCCTATGAAGCAATTTACTATCATCGTAGAAAGCATTGCAACTGCATTCGTGACGTCACGGATGAACAGTTTAACAGAGTTGGGTTTAGGGCACCGTAGTCGATCGGCGCGACGTGACCAATCATAAATGTGAAAGCATCCCTGTGTGCCGATTGGCCATAGACTACTAGCCACTCTTGTCAAATCTTGTCGTCCTCTACCGCTATATTCCGTTCAACTACTCACTGATGGAGTGACGTAATATTTGAGGGAATTCTTGACAACCTGACAACCTTGGTAGGAACTAGGAATACATTTACAAAATCGACGATGAATTCCAACCTAGGTAAATTATAATAAATATGTATTCATTGCATTACACATTAAGCGTGGAGCCGATTTTGCGAGTTACTTGCTGGAAAGAAAAAGTACGCTGCCAATCTATTCCATCTACTTCATTTGAATTAGAACTCTTTGTAAGATTCTGTGAGTAATTTTAAACAATTTTTTTACGTACAATGAGTTCAACCTAATAAATATTTTTACTTATTTTTCAGCATAATGGAAGAGTTTATTCCAACACGTGGTTCAAAAATTAAGAAAGATGCTATGAAGGAATTTGTAGTAGTCAATTTTAAAGCTGCTAAAAAAAAAGCAAAGAAAGCTGTTGATAGCGAAATAAAAAGGGACATATCACGTTTTAATGATGGAGACAAGGATATTGATCCAAAAAGAAAGCAAGAGATCGAAATGAAACGAGTTAGGTATGAGGTTATGAAATTTGGAATGTCCGGATTTGAAAAAGTAAACGCAGATAAAGCAAAAGTTCAACTTGCTATAAATTTAGGTGCAAAACCTCCTAAGAATAGAGGAATTAATTATAAAATATTGAAAGAGCAGAAAAAAAGAGAAGAGGAACTGCCGAAAAACGGGGAACACGTATCAGGACTTGAAAAGAGTATGATAAAGCATAAAACTGCTAAAACTATAAAAACTAAAAGAAAAGATTCTGGTATTTTAGACGTGTATGGGAAAGTAAATAGCAAACCGGACGGTAGAAAGAAAAGACGTATGGCCTAGGAACTAGGAATACATTTACAAAATCAACGATGAATTCCAACCTAGATAAATTATAATAAATACGTATTCATTGCATTACACATTAAGCGTGGAGCCGATTTTGCTGGGTTACTTGTTGGAAAGACGCTCCCCAGAAAAAGTACGTTGCCAATCTAAAAAAACTAATACTGCCCAAGCGGAAAGTCCGCTGTCAGCTCCAGGGGGATGACACCATGCTCAACGTGTAAATATTATAGGTTTGTAATGCATATACATATGAATGAATGTAAACAATTAGTGACATTCCATTTGAATTAGAACTCTTTGTAAGATTCTGTGAGTAATTTTAAACAATTTTTTTTTACGTACCATGAATTCAACCTAACAAATATTTTTACTTATTTTTCAGCATAATGGAAGAGTTTATTTCAACTCGAGGTTCAAAAATTAACCCTTAGCGCCCCGCGCGTTTCTCGAATACTGCCTACCAGCAACTGTGGCACATTTTTGGAGCGGAGCGTCTGAGATAAAGGAAGTCTTATTTTGAGCGAAAAAGATTACACGTACTTGTGTATGCATTTGATTTTATTTATTTTATAAATATACATTTTCCTATTGTAAATAAAAGATAAATTTTAAATTTTGTAATTCACCATGGTGTGATATTTTTGTTAACAATTTTCTATGTGCATTCTGGGTTTACTTGGAAAAGTGTTACAGTATTTACTTGTTTGACGTCTGTCATCCAATTCCGTAACATCACGCCATTCATTTAAATCTTTTAACGAATCTCGCTTTCACTTTCAATCATTCTCATTCTTCATCTCTTTGGTAGTATAATTTCGCTATTGCCACTTGAAGTGTCAGAATCATAACCAACATTGTCTTCCACAATGTCTTTTAATTCTTCAAAATCAAATACGTCTTTAGTATCACTCAGCTCTAAATTCTCATCATAATATTTATTTTTCTCCATGTTGCTAACCATAGGAAAGGTCAAAAAATGGTTTAAGCGTAATGGTACAGACTTAGCACGTTTTAACTACAGATAGCAATTATTAACGCCGACGATAACGTATGCTAAAAACATTTGGCTCTTCGGCGGAGCCTTCGGAGTTACGGAACAAATGACAAATGTCTCCGTAGCAGAGCCTTCGGAGCGCTAGGGGTTGAGAAAGATGCTATGAAAGAATTTGTAGTAGTCAATTTTGAAGCTGCTAAAAAAAAACAAAGAAAGCTGTTGATAACGAAATAAAAAGGGACGTATGACGTTTTAATGATGGAGATGAGGATATTGATCCAAAAAGAAAGCAAGAGATCGAAATAAAACGAATTAGGTATGAGGTCATGAAATTTGGAATGTCCGGATTTGAAAAAGTAAAGGCAGATAAAGCAAAAGTTCAACTTGCTATAAATTTAGGTGGAAAACCTTGTAAGGATAGAGGAATTAATTATGAAATATTGGAAGATTAGAAAAAAAGAGAAAAGGAAATGCAGAAAAACGGGGAACACGTATCAGGACTTGAAAAGAGTATGATAAAGCATAAAACTGCTAAAACTATAAAAACTAAAAGAAAAGATTTTGGTATCTTAGACGTGTATGGGAAAGTAAATAGGAAACCGGACGGTAAAAAGAAAAGATGAAATTGCAACTGTAAACATTTAAAATATTTTTAGTTGCTTGATCGCAATTGATACAACATCAACTAATTATGTCTAACAGTAACATTTTCCATATATTGTACGTTATATACGAAGAATAACGAGTAATAAAATAATATATTTTATATGTTTTTATGTGTGAATCATTTGGGCCAGCCTTGAGCTTTAATAATAGAGTACACATTTTCGCATATGCATATTTAAAATATATATATATGTATATATATACAATTATATGTATATATAATTTATATATATATACATATGTATTTCTGGATGCCTCAATGGAATGATTTGGCATTTCAAGAATCTTTTCCCACATTCCCCCGAAGTCAGTCAAAGGCTGCAGCTGTTGGTGCTACCTCGAGTAACATCTGGAGAAAGACATTCACTCCTTCTGCAAACAATGTAATGGAATATTTAGACATATATTCATCAATAGATAGATCTTTTTATTTTAAATCGAACACATGTTTTAGCATTTGACATTGTGATTGAAANATAAAACTGCTAAAACTATAAAAACTAAAAGAAAAGATTTTGGTATCTTAGACGTGTATGGGAAAGTAAATAGGAAACCGGACGGTAAAAAGAAAAGATGAAATTGCAACTGTAAACATTTAAAATATTTTTAGTTGCTTGATCGCAATTGATACAACATCAACTAATTATGTCTAACAGTAACATTTTCCATATATTGTACGTTATATACGAAGAATAACGAGTAATAAAATAATATATTTTATATGTTTTTATGTGTGAATCATTTGGGCCAGCCTTGAGCTTTAATAATAGAGTACACATTTTCGCATATGCATATTTAAAATATATATATATGTATATATATACAATTATATGTATATATAATTTATATATATATACATATGTATTTCTGGATGCCTCAATGGAATGATTTGGCATTTCAAGAATCTTTTCCCACATTCCCCCGAAGTCAGTCAAAGGCTGCAGCTGTTGGTGCTACCTCGAGTAACATCTGGAGAAAGACATTCACTCCTTCTGCAAACAATGTAATGGAATATTTAGACATATATTCATCAATAGATAGATCTTTTTATTTTAAATCGAACACATGTTTTAGCATTTGACATTGTGATTGAAATTCCTGTTGGATATATGCTTACCCATGAATTTGGGCACATATCCGTATTTAACAAATGGGAGGTAGACAAGCATGCCCGCGAAGATGAACCCGGCTGCATACAAGTACTCGATTTGAGGCTTATCGATGATTGGCGCTACAATCAGGTACGCAGAGATTCCAAGTACGAGCACAGGTATCACCAGCGGACACTTGTATGGTCGTGGATGATTTGGTCTGGTCCTTCGCATCACCAAAAGAGCGAGCATCGCTCCGCCGTAAAAGATCCAAGCGGTGAACGAAAAGAAGTCTATCAGGGAATCTATGTTTCCGGACAATACCATTGCTCCTGGACGATAGAAATGCATTTTATTGTCTTTAGGTCTTGAAATAGCTGTGACACGTTACGAAATTGTATTATACGCATGTAGCAGATCTTTACGGTACCTGCAACAAGGGAGTGGAAGATGAGTCCCGGGGCGGGAGTAAATCGTCGCACGTGCACATAACTGAGACAGTCGAGCAAATGACCCTCGCGGGACGCGGCAAAGCATAATCTACCTGCTGCAAAGAGAGTACCATTTGCGGAACCGAACGTGCTGATCGCAACCGAGAGCGGCATGAGCCATGCCATGACGCCAAGAATCCGATTGCCAAAAGTCTGCAAAACGTTATACGAGGATGACTATTCCCATCAACTAGAGAGATTTTTGTTTTTTTTCTGTCTTTTTCAAGAAGGTCCAATCGATTTTATCGTGGATTAAAAATGTAACTAGAAAAGGATAGGAATGTGACACTAACGTTTCTTCTAATTCTTGGCTTCTAATCGAAACAAAAATTACAGGTTGTCGTCTTACCACTGCGACAGCTTCGCTTTCGATCATTTCTGACGGCGACATTACGGCTAGGTAAGAGACGTTTATCAACGCGTAACAGAGCGTGACCAGAGGTATACCGATCATGATGGAACGTGGTAGATTCTTGGATGGGTCTTTGATTTCTTCCGTAACGTAATTGAGATTGTTCCATCCGTCGTAGGCCCACAAGCCGGTGTAAAATGCGGTAGCCAATCTGCCGATGTTGATGGTATTGCCGTCCATCGTGTCGAAAGCGCCTTTCAGGTGCTGCGTGTTACCCTGTATCAACTTGTAAGAACCGCCGGCGATTACAACCAGTATAGCGATCAATTTGGCCGCGGTGAACGCGTTCTGCACACCTGTGGCCAGATTAACGCTGTAACAATTCACCAGCAATATTAGTATTATCGCCAGGAGGGCAACGATCTTGACGACTTCCTCGGGTGGATCGCAGTCGGCTGCGAACGCCTCGACCGCGTATTGCGCAAACGATAGGCAAATAATCGCCATCTGTGACGGCTTCAGAACCAGCGTGGAAACCCACGAGAAAAGGAAAGCTGGCGGCGCACCAAACGCATCCATGAAGTAAGCATATTCTGCGCCGCTGCTCGTGTTCATCGTACCCAGCTCGGCGTATGCCAACGCGCCACACAGACTCAACATTCCGCAGGCCGTCCATACGAGGAAGCTGATCCCGATACTGCCGGTTCGAACTAAAAGCCCTGACGGCGAAACGAATATCCCGGAACCTGTTGCGAACACCAAGCGAGACCAAACATTACCATACTATTATGCCATTGCTAAAATCATAAAGTGCAAGCTGTTACCTATCATGGTGCCAACGATTAGAGCCACCCCACTGACGAGTCCCACCCGTCTCTTGAGGTGAACAGAGTTGTTCTCCTCTGGGTCCGTCCCCTCCAACCCTCCACCCCCTCCACCCCCGTCTTCATCATCTCCCAAATCCCCCGATTTAGCTTCTTTTTGTTTCCGTTCGTGTAGCTGTTGTTGTTGTTGCTGCTGAAGAAGCGTCGTAGCAACGGAGTTCCAGCCGTTACTGTTGCTGTTTCCATTGTTTCTGGCTGATCTCGACACCAACGTCGACTCGGGAATCCCAGTCCAACCACCACCGCCGCCACCGCCGCCGCCGCTTTGCACCTGTTGCTGTGGCTGATTACCGTTGCTCGTTTGTGGATCATGTCCCACGGTAGCTGAAACACATTAGTTCGTCGTCATTTACTAGTTCTCGTCGGTCTTCGATGCGCGTCGTAGGAACGGTTGGTTCTCTACAGTTGTCGATCGAGAACCATACACCTTCATACATAGTTAACCGGACTTTATACTGGATGACTAATGAACGAATCCTCTACTGGGATGGTCGATGTCGTCATTAAATAATATTTGCTATGGACAACCAATGCGAGTAGGCATTACACGCCTTTGCCGCTCTTCATCGCCCAGTCCAAGTATATATACGAACGCATCTCTTGATGGAACACGCCCAATTCAATTCATTTGTATTTTCTCGTCCGCGAGGTGCATTGAGAAATGTCACTCTTTCCAGTGAAAATAAGGTGAAAACATAATGAATTTTTATTCGTCCAAAAAGTATCTGTCTACGGAAATTTACATTACATAACTTAAATACGTTTCTTTGCCGGTTCGAGCGATCTCCACACCGTTATCACGTTCGAATGAAATGGAAGAAAGCTTTAGATCGTGACACCTGAATAGTTGTCGTCGATGATCAATTCGAAGATCAACGGCGATTCGAAATACGGCGAGTCTCCCGCGTCGCGTCGCATCCCGCCGCCTTTCCCTCACTGCGTTGCATGCTTCCAGGGAGCCCGTGAGAATCTAAAAAGCGGCAAACCGTTGTATTTGTATTTAAGCCGCCACGAGACCCTCCATTATTATATTATTATCTCCGAGACGTCGCTGTTACCGTAATAGTTCGCGTGGCCGGGTGCCAACAGATTTCTCGTGACCGGGATCGTTTATTGTTTCTTTACGTATTTCATCGTACGATATTGGTTGGGTCGCACGCGCGTCTCTACTCGTGATACATAATTGCGTTTCTCGTTCGCACGCAGCTTTTTTTTCGCTACAACAACGAGCCTGCGTGCGTGCGTGCGCGCGCGCGCGTCAAGCTAAATTGAAACAAATTCGATGGCGAGCTTATTAATCGCCCGCGTAATTGGTTCGGGTTAGGCCGTCGAATTTTATCAAAGCGCGAGTTTGCCGCACTGAAAATCAACATCGATAATCGATAAGCCGTACGAAAGAAGCCGATAAATCTTCGTAGAAACATTGTTCGCCGTACGAACTTGTTGCATTCTCCTATACGAATTAAACGTCCGTACCTACCATCCAAGGCGTGGTATTCTTCTCAAGGTGACCTTTCGAAGTATCGATCTTCACAATTTGTTTATGGCCTACCACACCGTGACATTTAGTTATTTAAAATAGAAATTCGAAATTATTCGTGTGATAAGATTATAGAATCGTGGTGGCGGACAATAGCGTGCTCTTAGTTTTAGTAGCGTCGGGTGTATGTCAGAAACTCGAAGAACGTAATTCGGTTTCGTTTGAAGACAATCGCGACCGATATTGAGCAATTTTATTTCTAGGCGTAACGGGAAGCCGAGTTGAATGTTTTCAAACGATTCGAGTAACAAAGATGTCGCCGAACAGAACGCGAGCACAGGAGGTGGTTGCCACCAACTGCGCTCGCTCACGAACGATGACTAACGCGCGACGAATCGAGTTGCAAAATTCCACAACGCGATATGCAAATATAAATCTTCGCGGAAGTCGCCGGATTGTATTTATGAACGATGGCTTCATTGTTCGGAGAGAACTCGAGATTTATTTCGTATCGTCTTCTACCGACGAATAGACCGTTCATTCCGTTTCTAATCACGTATCGTTTGATCCAATTTATATACATATATCGTTAATTTCGTTCGATTAAAATGGCGCTAACTTTCTTGATTATCTGTTCTATTTGGACTTGTTGCTGGATTTTAATTATTAGAGCCGCGCGGCTATTCCGAATCGTGTGAATGTCCATCGCCACGAAGCATCGTAATGAACCAATTGTGTTTAATTTATCGCGTCTGTGAAAGAAACCGATCTTTGTGCGCACGGTCCCGACCGATTCAAGATGAAGGTCAACTTGCTTGAGAAAAAGAGTATTAAATTGTGCTTGGAAGCTTAAATTTGTTTGACCGAGTCTCGTGACGGAACGAACTCCGAGGCAACAGTTGAATTTCTACGGTTCCAAGCCGACGAGGATTTAACGTTCATTCGAGTACATCGAGCCAGAATGAAACTTTTATAGCTACGAAGCGATGGTCGATCAAACACGCTGGCATTTTAATGCGTACCGTCCAAAAGCGATCTGCAAACACTTCCGATATGCAAATACAATTGAGGATCATTCGATTTTCTCCCCACGCGAAGCTTAGAGGTTAAATTACCTGTGTAAAACTGCCGATTTATAGCTACGAGACGTTGTCCAATGTTTCTCGTTTTATTTTATCGATTACAGTATTTTCTATCGTCTTGCGACTTGGCCGTGCCATCGTTTAGCGGAGGATAAATAAAAGATCGCATCCGTGACGAACGACAATGTAAACGAACAGGATTGCGCTTATTGAAACGCGCACGTCCGACAACGAATAACACCATTGAAAAGCGTAACTCGAGTACACGAGTACGCGTGCGAGAGATACCCATAAATACATATAATTGGCTTAAGCGAGCCCATCGTTCGTGCGCCGCTATTCGTCGAAGTGTTACGTTGAGAATATGCTTGGCTATTTGCGGCCACTTCATACGGCACATATTCATTCTGAAACGTTCAAAATAGGCTCGCGAAGTCGAACTCGTGGGAAGAGGATACAATCAGTGTCGAACTTGAGCTGGTAAGTGGGCTGTAGTTTTTATGCGGTTACGAGATTAAGTGGATCAAATCTGAACCACTAGAAGGATTGAAAGAATTTCAATCTCTTCTCTAGACAATAATCTAATACATATAACGTGTATATAGAAATTCAGCGCTCCTTCGAATAACATAGGCTCCAACCAACACAGTCTAATTCGTCGTTCTTTCGAACTATCTCGGCCGCAATTTGCTTCGGAAAACGGACACCGTCTGCTGAAACATCGGAAATTTTGTTTGCCGGTTTGATATCGCGTCGGACCTAGATACCCGACTCCGTCTGCTTACACAGCGAGCCGCGAGAAATGGCAGCACATCGATGAAAGATCGATGAACGCGTTCACCGACGTGTTCGGTAACATTCGACTCTCTGTGTCGCGTATAGTGAACAGGATCGCATAAATAGAAAACGCGAGGATATTCTCGGATATATTCCCGTGCACTTCGTGAACTCTCCAGTCGTGCGATTTCGCAGTATGACGCAACTGCTCGTGAATTTCGGCGGCCGCTCCGTTCCCGCGTTGCATAACTAGAACCTGTGCCCCCTGAATGAACGCTTCCTTTCCGACTCGGCCGCGAATTCGGTCTCGGAACGGCCCGAACGAACCTGGCCGCCTATCGATATATCTTTACCGAAACTTATTCGCGCCAATTGCGCTCCACTGTAAACAACTAGATTTGCCAAGTCGAGACGGCCGCGGTCGTGCACGTGCATCAGACACAGAGATACAACCAGTCGGCTAACGTGCGGTTTTGTCGTGCGTTCTGGTCATTAAGTATAGATTTTATTACCTTGTTTTTCAAGCGCAACTGTCTCGGGCGTTATTTCTCTGGCTCTATTACGGTGACAATAAGACGCCCATAAATTGCAAAATTAAGTAAGACAATTGTGTCCAAAAGCCTTGAGTGCTGCAAATTGATACGTATCTTTTCGTATATACATAATTACGTACGTACATAAGTATGTGTACTTATTTATAATAAATTGCCATGACATCCTTAAGTCAATAATTATATAATGATACGCGTATCTATTTGAAGGCAAAGAAAAATGTACAAAGAATATTACAAAGAATATCGCAAATTTTCATTTGCGATGCTGGTATGAATAAATAAATTAAGTCGGAACGGACCCGGGCATCGCTGTTCGATGAACAAATACCGTGCGTTATCGGATTTGACGGTCGGAGTAGACCTTTGTTTCTAAATTAGAAGCAGTATGTTGGGCGCACGTTTCAAAGTCTCGAGACTGCGTGAAGCGTAAAAGCGGCGCGTTACGACACCTAAAGCAGCTTGTAACCGTTCGTATAGGCTGGCGGGTATCGAGAAAAGCCTTGTCCCAAGAATGGGAGCGGTGTTTATGAATGAAGTGACCCGGCGAGGGTTGGAAAGCGCGCGAATCTTTTCAATTGAGAGAACAATGTGCCTCTCGACGAGTGCATCTCGTATCGCATAAGTAGAGGAATAATCGGATGAGATGAAAGGAACAAAGAAACTACTTGAGTCTAATGTGATTGGGAATACGTATCGCTTACCTCGTTTGAAGGGCGCGACATGCATGACTCTAAGAGGGACCGATAAGAAGGGCGGACTGTGAGACCGCCTCTCATGACACTACGCCGACTGTTCAATGGAAGCAACGTCTTTGTCAGACTATAGCTGTCTTCTACACGCCGTCTGACACCTTTCTCGTGAAAACGTTCCCTCGCAATTCTCTTGTTCGAGGTTCGGCGGGCGACCGTTCCGTTCGCCCCTTGCTTCTTCGCCTACTTTCTGATTTGGCTACCGCTGCCGATGCCGCCGAAGTCCCTCCGCTGACGACTCCAATGCACCCCCTCTGCTTGATTCGGTTGGTGGTTCTACCGCGAGTTTCCCACTTGTCCACGGGTTTCGAGAAAATGTTTATTCAACTGTAGTGTATTGCGAGACGATATGCACTGATCCAGCTCCGACGATGAACTGGGCTTTCGACTTCGACAGAAGGAGACGCAGCCGTAGCCGTCGAACACCGACCAGGAACGAGGCCAGGTAGGGGAAGCTGCAAACAGACCAACAGGGACAGCAGAATGGACGCCAAGCGTCGGCGCCACAATTCGCTCGATATCGTCCCTCTGCTTCAACTTCCATTTCACGTATTCGTGTACGTGTGCACCAATACACCTTGCACCCCTCAATTCACTCCGTAATCCAGAAACTAGTTTTTAAATCGGAGCTAATCCGTATCTACCGATTTCCATTCTTTCATCGCTTATCAATATTTTACAGCCATCGTTACCTATATACTTTATTTTCCGTTATTTTATTTATGCATTCATGTATTGTCTGTATTCTGAAACATCATATTCGCTGAGAAACTAGTTCAATTAAAACACTACTGTTGGACTTATGTACCTTGAATTTGTTGAAATATAACCGCACCGGTCGGTAAAGTAGTAACGGTATCATGATTAAATCCTTTGCGTAGGCAACCGAAATGCATACATAAATTTCGAGCATTGATTTGAAATTTTTTGTATGAATTTTTATTTTGAATCTATGAATCGATGTAATAATGTCCGTAAAATAAACATTCAGGGTAGATTTGTGATATTTTTAGAACATAAGGAATTGTTTAAGACAATATAGCAAATATGTATACAGATACGGATTTACAGAAATCCGGTTGCCTACGCAAGGGTTACATCGATTGAAATTTTTAATTTTATTGATTGATTCTAATGTCGGTAATTACCGATTATACATTAGTCAGATTAAAAATTAGATCATGAACTTGCAATTGTTAATAGCGTATTTCAACTACAATTGTTGATTGCTCGATTCTGAAGAACGGTATGTAATTCAAGAGTACATCCAAGAAACATAACAAAAAGTAGTTTATTTATACAATACACAAAAATTTACAATGAATATTCATTAATATGTTTTATTTTTAAATGCACCACTACTTTTCGGGACATTTTTCGGTTTCTTTAACTTATTTTATCATTTTCGTTACGTGTGACTTTTTATACTGAATGTAAGAGCACTTGTATGAGTAAAAAATCGTTTTGAATTCACTGTTTCGTTCAATTTATGTATCTCTTCTTCCATCCTTTCATTTCTGAGGAAGTTCTATGCAATGACGTAAGATAAAGAAATGTGTTCTTCTATTTGTTGTCAGTTTACTGGTATTCTATAAACATTTATATTATATAAATCTGTATACAGTATTCTCCTGTTAACGTCTTAGGTTTATGCTCTCGTTAACGTTCCGTTTTTATCCTCATTGTTTCATGTCACCTTCAATAGTGTTTCTTTTTACTGTCTACTATTTAGCATACATAGCATCTCATTATGTTCCCCGAATCGTAATATATATGCATGAACTCCCTGTCTTCATTCGAGCAAATAAGTTCTTCAGTTTTGTATATCTTGTTGCGCTAGGCCAGCTTGTATGTGGAATTCCATGATATAAAAAAATTATAATAATGTGCAATATACGTAATATCCTCTCATTGATAACAATCATCCATGTATAATACAAATTACAAAAAATAAATATCAGGAATGATTCAGTGTGCTTTAATAAAGTAACGATAGACAAGAGTTGCCAAAACTCCAAGTGCGATTGGTATCAGCCAAGATCTCCAAGAACCACTGCAATTTGCCAATCATCACAACACGTTGCAGCATCGACTATTTACATATTACACTCCTTAAATTTTCAAAAATGTTACAGGTTCGGATAGCACAAGCATAATTCACAAATACAACACTCACCCTGTAGCTGTTTAGAAAAGCAAGCCCACATCCACATTGTTATAAGTTTAATAAGCATACTGGCACAACTTGTTAGAATTTCAATTGTGCTATCCGATATATAGTAACACCAATACCACAATTGTCTACCTGGAATTGTCTTCATTGAGTACTACATTTGGGTCACAGGTAGTTTCCTCTTCCCCTTCTTCAAGTTCTCCAATTTTATAAGGTATCATCATCTCTCTAGCATCACTAGAGTGACCAATATCCTCAAAAGGCTCTGTCGCATCTTGACCAGCTACTTCCAAAATAACTTCTTCTCCTCCTGGATGCTTAAATTTCAAATAAAATTGATAAAATTTTCGCAAATGTTTCACAGAGAACACATGGTGTATGAAAACATTAAAAAATAAAACGTTGAAATTAAGAAATTATAATTATATCAACCTTACGCAGAAACGTAGTCAAATCGTACACTTTACGGTTAATGATAACCCAGACGTCATTGGTATTGTTGTGTTTAGCTATTTCTGCTTTCGAGTATACTTGAGAAGAAGTGGTAACGGACTGAATATTTTCTGACGCCATATTTTTTCTTCTATCAGGAAAGAATATTATTTTGTAGATTGTTGAGTATGTATGTATACGGAAATACCACTGTGCAGAAAGAAAAGAATGTGAGCTAAATATTAACGACTATACCTCAATTGAAATAATTATGTACAACACTTGTTACAAAATACGAGTACGACCTGAACTGAGCTGAACTGAGCTGAACGTACAAAGTTTTTCGACTGCTTATCAGTTAGCTGCCGCCACAGTCTGAATTGGTCTGAATCATGGTCTGAATTTAGCGATCCAGTTAGTAAACGATGTGAATCTTGTGCAAGACTCTAATCTATGTAATAGCAATAAAAAACGTCAATTAATAGTGATAATCTTTCTTTTACTGTAGCAATAAGATCAATTAGTGATTGTTTTAATTTAATAATAAATTGCAATAAAATTTGCACCTTAAAAGAAAATTATTTTCAATTAATAAAAAAGACCAGCGTATGTATAAATCAAGTTTTTAAAATACATTTTCGAATTATAAATTTATAATATTCAATAAATTTTTATATTTTAATAACCTTCGAATTTTTTTTTTGTAACGAGAAGTCCTGACCAGAAATTAGACCAATCAGAAGTCTCGATTTATTATACGAATGTCTAAAGTTGTATGCATCGGTTTAGTTTAGGTGTTTCAATTGAATGCGATTTCTTTACCACACGATTTAATAATTTTTTGTACATAAATTTGCGTTGAAACAAGTGATCGTTGACCACTTATGTTTCACAATTACAAGATACTTTTAAGTTTTGTTGCGTACAATTCTTTTCGCGTACTTTCGAGTAGTAGCAGAGAATGAATTTTGCCGGCTTCTTACTTATATGCATTGTTATCAGTTTCGTGACAATTTCTGCGAAATGTGAATCTTTTTGGAGAAAAGGCATATCGTCTTTATATAGTGCATTTGATAGATCCATAGATTACATACCATGTAGTTTTATGGAATGTTGTAATAATGAATATATTTCATCTGACATCAACAGTGAGTATATCAAACTACAAAATTAAATATTACATGTATATTTATATCAAAACTGAAACTATCATAACTGTATATTTTTTCACAGAATTAGATGATATCTTGAGAGAAAACCTTTATGGGCAAGAAATAGCTCATCGTGTAGTAATAAGTGCATTGCGTGGACATTTAGGTCAAGTCAATCCTCCAAAAGCTCTGGTTATGAGCTTTCACGGTCCTCCAGGAACTGGTAAAACATTTGTGGCTCAAATGATAGCCAAATCATTTTACAAGAAAGGGGAACAAAGTAGATATTATCATTTCTTCAATGGTCGCAACGATTTTCCTTTAGAACAAGATGTTGAACTCTATAAGGTACAGTTTTGGTTCTTAATTATACAGTCAGGTTGGAAGCAAAATAAAAAATATATTTTAGAACTTTATTATTACTTTGATCTAAGGACTTAAGTGCTTAGATATCCAGTTAATAAAAGCTCTAATGTATATATGTTTTTTATTTTTAAACGTACATAAAAACTGATTTTTATATTGTGTTACTTGGTCTGATACAGGAAGCGTTACGTAAAACTATTATCCATAGTTTAACAAACTGTGAGAGGTCATTATTTATATTTGACGAGGTAGATAAAATGCCAGAAGGTGTATTAAATGCTCTTGTACCGTTTTTGGATTATAATACTCAATTGAAATCATGGAGATTTTCCAGTACTGTGTTAAACACTAAAAGAGGAATATATATATTTTTATCAAATACTGGTAGCTCACGAATCATACAACGCTTATTAACTCTTTGGGAAGAAGGAAAACATAGAAGCCAAGCTAAAGTTCAAGATTTCGAAAATTTGATAAGTGTTGGAGCATTTAATGAGAAAGGTGGTCTTCATCATAGTGATACAATCGACACTAGTCTCATAGATCACTATGTGCCTTTTTTACCACTT